TCCCCAGCCAGCATGGCTGGGGAATTCTGGGAGTTGAAGTCCACTCATCTTAAAGTGGCCAAGTTTGGACAACACTGGTCTAGACAGACAGCTAAACAGACAGCCAGAGAGACAGTTATCCTCACCAATCCTCGGAAGAGTGTGTAGAGCGCAGCCACGAGGAGGAATCCTACCAATCCCAGATCCATAGGGCGCTGGATCAGGTTTTTGTGTTGTTCTGCTGCCACCTTCCCCAAGCCAGAAAGAAAAGGAGATGGTAAGATGGGGGGCCTTGCTCTCAAAAGGGGGTTGCCCGAGGCACCTGGGGACCCAAAAGTGGGGCCTGGCAAGAGGAGCCAATGTCTTCTTTGGAAGCTGATGGGTGTCAACCTGTTTTTGAAGGTGCTGCGGGTCCAAGACTGTGGACAGGCAGGAAGTGACCTTGCAGCCACAGGAGTTCAGTGACGCACAGCAGCCTGTTGGCTTACACCTGACCCTACAAAGTGATTGTCTAGCCTGGCAGATTCTCAGTCTTGTAAATTATTTTCCGGGTGGCCTGTCAAGCTGTCGAATTCCCTAATTACTATCTATAATTAAGCCTACTTATTCAAGCCTGGTTCTTAGCCAGACTAATCTTTTTTCCTTAATAGTTTACCTTTGTCTGATGTCTTGTTTATCCAATAAAAAGCAGCGGCGGCCACAAAAACCTGTTGCGTTCCCAGCTCTTCCTTTTCCTAGGCATTCTGGCTAAATCCAAACCCAAAGCAGGAGGACATCTTAGCCCTCTGTAGCCTTGGAAACGAGATGCTAATAGTCTTTTATTTATGCGAAACCCTCTCGCTGGATCGGTCTAGTTACGAGGGAGTGTGATTTTCGGCGTTGAACACTGAACTACTTCCAGCGGCCTGTGAGCGGAGCTTGGAGAGGAGCTGGCTACTCTGCAGCTATCATCAGGATCTGCAACAAAATGTTGCAGCATGGGGCGATGCCGTTCAGGTTACTTCATTCTTTTTCACTTCCCAGGTGGCTCTCTGCATTCTGATCTGCAGAATTAAGTCACCATTTCACAACTACTGAGCATGCCCGGCCCTCCTAGGCTGTGTCCAGGGGCGGGCCACCCCAACATGCCATCACAATGCAACCTTTGTCTCTTTTGTACATGTGTGCGACCAACATTGTGTTGCGTGTACAAAAGGGGCAGAAGTTGCATTGCAACATCATACGGCTGCTTTGATCATTGGCTCCCACTGCAGACACTTCTGACCCCCTTCCCCCCCCCAGCACAAGGTTCCTTCCCCAAAGAAGTATTATACTTCTCTAAAAAAAAAAAATGCTGATCCCTCACTTTTGTGCATGGGTGATGCTGTCTTGGCTATGTAAGCAAGAATACTTGTCTCTGAGCATTGGAAATAGAGGGAATGAATTAAAAACTGCATTGAATGCTTGTGGAGAGGTCGGTATCAAAGGCTAGGGACAAATCAATGGAAAGAAGAAAACACTATTAGTATACAAACGCTATAGTTGTGTCAGCCGAATACGGTAGACCAGATTAAGAAACCAGTGCCACAGAAGTCAGAATCACTTTTACTGTAACAACTATAGTAACAGCATCTTGCAAGTCTGAATGTGCTTCCCCTCCCTCACTCTCATTGTGTGAACTGGGGAGGGGCTTGTCTGAGATGTTTTCTCGTGTTATCTTTTTGGCCGGGGCTCAATCCCCTCTTATCTGACTGTTGCCTTGGTAGAGGCTCTTCCTCCTGTCCTTCAAGGCCATTCCCTCTGTCCCCTACAAGTCCTTTCCACTGGGCTCCCGTCGTCATCGTCGTCATCATCAACAACAACATCATTAGCCATTCTTCTTCTTCATGCTTCGAGCCCTATCCAAGGCTTGGGAATCGTAAAGGTACACCTAATTATGTATGAGGTACCCAACAGCGCTCTTATTGTCAGGGTTTTCTTTCTCATGGGAAAGGATTCATCCCGTT